ATTTGGATTTAGTTTTTTGGGGGTAGTCCCCTTCTTCTCATGGTGTTCAAAACCTGCTCTTCTCTCTTCTTCAGTACCGTCTGTGAGTGCTAGACCACAGGATGGTGACACCATGCTGAGACAGTGTTCACTCTTTGACCCCTGAGCACTAAGCCAGGCCGAGAGAGTGGATGCCCTGACCACCTCAGCTGCAGAAGGCAGCTGGCACCAGTGAGGTCGTGGTGGAGAGCAGGCTGCTCTGTCCAAAAGAAGGGAATCCGGGGGCATCTCTAGATGAGGGGAAAGCTGAGAGGGCTCGGGCATCCCAGCTCTGATGGAGTTCTCAGGAGGTGGATCAGGGCCAGGGCCATCTAGGTCTCAGTGGGTCCCAGAGGCTCTAGGGGACACCTGTGTGTCAGGGAACTAGGGCAGGAGAGGGAGGATAAAGGGAAAGACAGTCGAGAATGGGAGGGAGAAGGAAGAGGAGGGAGAAGAGGAGGGAGGAGAAAAGGAAGGGGAGGGGCAAATAAAAGAACAGAAGAAGGAGGAGAAGGGAAGGGAGAAGGAAGAGGAAGGAGGGAGAGATGAAGAAGAAAGAGGAAAAAAAGACAAACATGAGGAGTCCTTCCTTCCTTCCTTCCTTCCTTCCTTCCTTCCTTCCTTCCTTCCTTCCTTTTCTTTTCTAAGCCTATATGGCTTATTTCTTTATTATGTGGTACCAGGAGTTGAACTCAGAGCCTAGTACATGCTAGGCAAGTGTTCTACCACTATGCTACAGCCCCAACCCCAAGGAGAGGTTTCATGGAAGCTAAAAAGTAAAACTGGGAAAATAAAAATAAAAAAATTAATGACATTTAAAGAAGATGAGGAGGGGGAGAAAATAACAGAATGGAAAGAGAGTTAGATATGATGGCTGCCACCCAGGTGGGGCTGTTACACACTTGAAATTTGACAAGTTCAGCCAGGTGGGGTGGTGTACACTTTTAATCCCAGCACTTGAGAGGTAGAGACAGTTGGATGTCTGTGAGTTCAAGACCAGCCTGGTCTACAAAGTGAATTCCAGATCAGACATGGCTACACAGTGAGTTTCTGTGTCAAAAAGCCATAGGAAGGAAGGAAGGAAGGAAGGAAGGAAGGAAGGAAGGAAGGAAGGAAGGAAGGAAGGAAGGAAGGAGGGGTGGGTAAACTATGCCTGGGACCTCCCCTAAGTTAGAGCATTTTTGTCAGTGTTTATATTAATTAACTACTTATTAGAGTGATGACAGTTTGGAGTTGTTGGAGTAACAAACATGAAGTTAATCTCGCCTCTTTCTTTTCATGTGGCTACTAGAACACGCTGACTCACCCTCTTAGCTCCCAGCTCTGTTCCAGAAGAAAGGATGGGAGGGAACAGCACCAGCCACTGTAAGCAGCGAGGAGGAGGCCTCTCCTTTAGCCCAAATCCTGTGCTAAGCAAACAGACTATTCCATGGCAGAGGAAAGAGCAATTTAGGAAGGAGGCCAGGAAGGCTGAGTTGCTGAGAATATAGGGAGCTGTGGGGCTGCCCAGCTTCAAGGTGGAAGAGAACAGAAGGCGGAGGAGGAAGACGAGTTCTGGACGCAATCTGTTTCCACTTACTCAGCTCATAGGAAAAGCACACTAGCTGAGCTGCGTGTGTCAGGGCCCACAGCATGCTCCATTCCAAACCAGGCCCCTGGCTCTGAGCCCACTGCTGCTGGTGGTCCTGAAAGCAGATAGTATGCCAGACCCTGGGGGATCAGAACCACAGTGTCTTCATGCAGAGGCAGGAGGCAAGGTCAGAAGGACCAAGCTGCTCTGCTCTGCCCAGGAGCTGAGATAACCTCCAAGGATGTCGTTCCCTGCCTTCCTTCTGTCCTTCCTTTCGTCCAAGTGTGTGTGAACACGTTTATATGGATGTGTGTGCCATGTGTGTAGGAACCTTAGGTCAGCATGGGATGTCTTCAGTTGCTTCCTCTCTTTTGTGTATGTGTGTGTGCGTGCATATGTGTGTATGTGAGTGCGTGCATGCGTGTGTGCATGTGTGGTGTGCGTATGTGTGTGCGTGTGTATGTGAGTGCATGCATGTGTGTGTGCATGCGT